CCTTTCACGCTTTTCGTTGCACTGAAGGCAGCAGGGGAGATTGTGGATGAAGCTCTGAAGCCAGAGGCTGTCAAGGCATCGTGGGCTCAGTGTGGCTTTTGTGCAAATGAACTTGTACTAGGAGTGGGTCTGTTTATGTGGCCTGTTCTGTACCCAACGACGTTAAAATCTGGAACTATATGCCTTATTGCCTGGAACTATATGCTTTTAGCCTGGAACTATGTAACTATATGCCTGTAGTATCCAGTCTCAATCTGTAGCCTGTAGTATCCAGTCTGAACTCCTGACCTAGTGGTGCAGGAGATTTCTAGAGAGAAGAGTGGAGTTTCATATGCGTCAATCCTCGCATTTTCTCAGGGTATAGACTGAGTTTGTTCCAGACGGTTCCAGACGGTTCCACTATAATATTATTCATATTGTAGATATGTTTCCAGACGGTTCCAGACGGTTCCAAACCAAAACAACAGATGCTCGCAATTCGTATCGTCAACCTCATGTGTTCCATTTTTCTTGGAATTTCAGGTGGGCTCCATTTGTTGTTGCTTTCTCCCAGTTCTCTTTGTTGGCGTTGCACTCCAGAGGTATGGCTCCACGGAAGCCAGTATTGTGGCTTCTGTGGAGCCATACAGTTCCAAACAAAATGTCATAGTTCCAACGCCTCCCTTTCAGCCAACAGACAAACAGACCCACTCCTAATACAAAAATGAACCTTTTAACTACGACAAGATCTTCATCCAGCGAAAAGACGAAATCTTCCAGAGCATGCGGGATGCACCTGAAACACCAGCCACATCCAAGGCCCTTACCATGGTCCAGCAGATGAGCCCCAAACGAACAAAGCATGCCTGCGGTGTTTGGATTGGAGTGGACTGCAGGTTTTGCGCAGGCTGCGGGGAAGAGAACCCTGACTACGACAAGGAGATAGCTTCTTTGTTGCGCCAAGGGCATCGAGCAGGGTGGAAGAAGCCCGAGCCTTCACAAGAGTGTGAACCTCCAGCAGACGCTGACCACAGTCGCCTCCTCAACCAGCTTGGTGACTTGATGAAAGATCTGCGGCGAAGATCTGATACCGATGCACCCTCTTCCAATGCTGTGGCTCCTCCTGCCACTGTTCCTGTTGCAAACACTGCAGAGCTTTCCAAACCTCTCCACGACAAAGAAAAAGAAGCGCCCAAGGAAGAATTTGATTTGGACTCTCCAGAAGAGGTTGTGGAGTACCTCAAACTGTTTTGGGGTGAGAGCAAAGCAAAAGACGTTGAGGGCACATTGCAATTTGCAGTCCAAACAATGAAAGCAAGGGCTACGAAGTCGGAGCCCCTGTGCCAACTGGTGCAAAAAGAAGTCTTACAGACAAAGGAGTTGATGAAGAAGGAGGGTCGCCTTAAGTTCTTGAAATTCTGGGAGAACAAGCGTTCAGCAAGATTTGCTCAGAGACCTGACTTTGCCAAAGGCAAGTGAACGTCAGGTGGTGCATGGAAAACAGAGAGACCTCAGGCTGCGTTCACAAGGGGATTAGGTTCCTAAACGTGGCTTCCAAACATTAAAAAACAGATGTTTTTTGCTATGTTGCGACTTGCGTTTACATGGGGGACTCCATTTGATCAAGCTTGGAATTGGGTGAAAGGTCTTAGTTTATGTTGCGTTTACAGTGGGCGACGGTGTGGCGGTGACTTTTCAGCCTCGTGGCTGTGCGGAGTTCCATGCGGGAAGACTTGGTAACAAGAACTGGCGGTGACTACCGCCGTTGCCTGTAGCAGCTCGACATGTCCACCACGTTCCCGGTGTCCGTCCCGGCCTGACGGCCGCACTGGTCAGTATTTTGGACTGGCCTGACCGTGGTTTGCCAGAGTGTTTGTGTCGGGTTTTCCGATTGTTGGAAGCATCCCTCCGTCTGGGATATTCAGGCCCACGTCTCCGGAGCCCTTACCTGAGGCAGCTCTTCTGGGACATGATGCCATATCTTATGTTGATACACTCGAATCTGACCTTCGTGTTCACCCCTCCGCTGCCATCATTCTCGAAGAAAGTACCAAAGAACAAGATTTAGGTCTTTTGGGGTCGTTCCACAGTCGAGCCTTTTTTGATAGTCTCTATGGTATCGGTATAGGTCAATGGCGCCCCTTGAAACGCCACACAGTTCACCAGCATGACAAAGAACGCCCAGTGGACGATGGTAGAGCCGGGAGGCACAATGAGTGCACCCAGCTTCACGAGGCAATTGTCAACCAAAGACCTGACTTCCCTCTAGCTGTTGTTAAGTTTTGGTACCAGGATGCATTCGATCTCACCACCTGACAGCTTCTCCCAGTGACTTACCTCAACATATGCCTTGGCTTGAGGTTGTGGCTGGCACAGAAGACCTAAGGGCTACCGCCAAAACCTTGCCTGCTGCGTCATGCTTGCTTGTGTTTGATTACGGTGATGGCCGGAGTCAGAACCGACTGGCGCTGCTCCATCTTGGGCGACTGGTTCGCTTGATCCACTGCTCTCACATAGTTCTGAAAGCTCAATGCCCACGGAGAGGTCAGATCTCTCTTCTTCTTCATGAACTCTCCATAGCTCGCGAGTTGTGACTCCGGGCGGCTTCACCATCTTGATCTCGCTGGGTTCCGGCATCGTAGCCAGAGCACGATCTTCTGGGAACGAGAGTGGGACATCCAATCCCACGGAGGCTGCATAGGCGGGACTTGCTTTCTTGGGCGCCATCGGTGTCGGGACTGACGGACGGCTTTTCGCACGTGCTTGATGCTGGTGTTGCTGCTGGTGTGTGAGATGTGTGACGTGGGCACAAGTGTGAATCTTTCCTTTCCTCTTTCTTAGTTTTCTTTTCATCAATCATGTTAGTCACGACCTCCCATGATTCACTTTGCAAATCTTCTACTTGTGCATGTTTCAAAATTTCCACAAGATCAACTAAAAACAGACCCTTCTCACTCACACTCAAAGGAACACTGACTCGACCGTGAAACATGCACAGCATCTTCCGCGACGTGCAAATGTCCGCTGCCACCGCTTGCAAAAATACATTCGACAAAAAAATGGCGTTGTTCCATCAACCACTTCCAGTCTCAACCACCTACGTCCAAAAGAAATGAACACGGCCCCCAAACTTGCTAAAGTCCCTTTGTTACCAATTTTAAACACTGTTTCAGATTTCTGCCATGCAATGCGTTTCACAAAATCGTCCGGCAAGTTTCGCATTAACTGCTCCAACCTCTTTTTCCCGATCACGGATTTACTAGCTCCGGTGTCCAAAATCGCCGTGCTCATGCTGGGTCTCACACCTGACGTGCTTTCCATACTCACCCAAACCCCTTCTAAGAGTATGTTTCAGATCGGTCATGGTCAGAGCACAAATGAATTCTTCATTAACCCGGGTCTCTGTTTTAGGAGCCCTACAAAAATGAGAAGGCACGAACATGTCCCCGACCTGGTTGTCATACAAGAGCTGGTTCAAAGTCTTGCCATGGTCGGTCTCTGACATCATGGTCGTCGGCATCTCCGGGATCGTCACTTGGTTGTTGGACTGGCGCCACCCATCAGGTAGAGCTTGTTCCAAGGAGATAGGTAATCGGTCCAATGACTGGTTCCGGTACTCTTGTTGGGGCACTCTTGACGCCAGTGACCTTTGGCGCCACACAATCTGCAATTTGAATTGGCGATCCTCTCGGCTAGTGACTGTCTCTTCCGGAAGCCCCCTTTTGGTTCCAAGAGCCTTTCTTGGATTTCTGCTTTCCTCTTCCTTTGATGGGAGGCCAAAACCCACGTGCTCGGATCTTGTCTCTCACACAGCTACGGGCATCAGTGTAAGCAGAAAAACACATGCTCAAGTCTGCATTGTCCTGACAGGCCTCCACGAGTTGGTCCTCGAAGGGAGACCGGTCTCTTCATCAGGGTGGTAGTCCTCCTCGGCAACGAAGGAGGGTGCAACATGGTCGTTGTCCTCTTCTGTAAAGTTCACTGGATCTACCTTCTTCTTGTTGTCCATTCCCGAACTTCCAACCAGAATCTTCGGCGCCAGTTGTCTCATCGCATCTTCGACCTTTTTGGATTGTAGTTCACCTCCCGTCATCGAGAGAACCCGTTTCTTGTCTTCTGCATTCAGGTAACTCTGCCGAAGCATGATGAATGCCTTGATCTCCTGGATGGACACTGTAGGAATTTCAGCAAAGGCCAAATTCATGCGATTGACGTATGAGAACACACTCTCATCTTGCTTCTGCACCACACGGTATAGTGCTCGCTCAAATTTCTCATAGGTCTGTAGTTCAGCTGATTCTTCCCACGAGGCCACTGCTGCCAGGAGAAGTTTTACCCCACCTTCAGGATCTGAAAGTTTTGAGCCATCCAACGACTTCACCTGAGCCCACGCAGTTCCTTTCATCAAAAGCGCCAACCTCAGCGCCAGCATGGGTTTGTCCTTGAGCGGACAAATGGAATGCAGGAAACGCACTTTGTCTGCGTATTCTCTTGGATCATCTGTCGTAGAATCAAAGCTAGGCAAAATACTCCAGATATGTCCGGTCTTGTCATCTCCAGCGCTGCCTTCTGTACCGGCCATGGCTCACTGCAAAATGCGAGTGTAAAAAGTCGTGCAACAGAAAACCAGAATTCCACAATGCAACACCTTCCTAGGTAAATTCACCTGAAGCCCCAAAAGACCTACGCCCCCTCAGCGGGGGCTCCGCTACCAATGTTAATCTTTCCCTAAGATGATGTGAGAAAACCCTGTTCCTCTATCTACCGGCGACCTCGCCTTTTCTCCTAATGTCGTTGCCTTCTCACCCACCCTTCTCGTGGGTTTGAACAGGAGCACGAACAGCGAGACCGTCCGAACCAAACTAGCGAGTTTGACAATATATAATACACACATGTATACACATGTGACACATGTTCCCAAACCAATGAGTATTTTCCCCTCCTCTCCCTCTCACTCTCCCTCTCTCTCGCTCGGTAAAAAAATCAGACACTCCTTGGGTGTGGGAAGCCTTCTCTTCGAGGTCTTGACTGGGACCGCGTGCGGACGGTGCCCAGCGCCAAAGCCTTGCAGATCCGTGACGTGGAGGAGTCGACCGACCGCCTTCTCGGCCGACCGGCCGCGAACAGCGCAATTTGGGTTGGTCCCATTGGAGTCGAGCATTTTCCTGTCGTCGTCGTCGTCGTCGTCGTTGTTTTGCGGGAAGACCCAGCAGTGGCAGCAAAACGATAACACAACATGGCGAGTTTCAGGGTTGGCCAAGGCGGTCCAATGGATCTCGCCGCCCCGAAAACCGTTCCTTGACATCGTTGGTCAAGCTGGGATCCGTGGGATTGGACATGGTCTATGATATGTGAAAAGAATCAAACAGGCTGTTTGAAGCACTATCAACAGAACCAGGGAAACTAAGCCTCGGAGCATAGAGCACAGTGGCGACAAGGGGGAGACACACTGCAAGCCAAGAGTTACAAGATACAGCCAGCGACCATAACGAGCGTAATGGGTGTTTGTTCTCCAGATGGAGGTAGAACATTATTTTCAATGATGTTTGATGGCAAAAGATCGGCAAATCACAGGGCTCCGTTGGGACCGACTGTTCCGCAGCGCAGAATGGTCGTCTGGCTGCCCGCGGTGTTGGCTCCGCTTTTTTGGAGGAGTTCCTCGCACAACCGGCGAGCGAGCAGCTGGCAGCGGACGTGGGCTTCGTAGGGGGCCCTCAGTCAAAGCAGTAGATGTAGAGGTCCCCAAGTAGATAGTGGCACTGTTTTCCAATACATTTTTAGTGGGGTTTTACTTTTCTATCTATTTGGGGGTTGTCTATATGGACCCCCCAGATGAAGAGGCTGTTGAAATTCCAAACAAGAGTTGATCAAGTTCATCAAGAGTCTAGAGTCGCTTTCGCGCCCTTGGTGGCGCAAGGACGCCAGGTCTCTTCGGTGGTCCTTGGGGCAAAAGGGATTCGAAGCTGAAGAGAGCTGAATAGCGGTTCCTCGTTGAGATGGAGGTGTCGGGATGGCAAAGCTGCGGCTTGGTTGAGAGAAATTGCGAAGGAGCGCGCATTTGAGTAGCTTGGCTCCCGATTCCCGGTTGGACATTGGTAGAACGTGTTTACATTCTTGATTTGTGGAACATTTGCCCTGGTGCCTTCTCAAACAATGCTGGGTGATTTTCCCGACTGGACTTGAACCCTCCTCCGAAAAGACATGACCCATTCTTGCTGGTTGCAGCGGTTGCATGCGGTTGCAGGAAGTATCACACTATAGGACTAGGCCTACACATATATATATACATATACGTACATATATATATATATATGTATATATATATATGTCAATAGGGATGGGGTCCCAGTATAGTCGCTATACAGGTACATGCCATATACTTTTGGCTCAAGTGCCCAACCAGGTAAAAAGGAGCTTTAGCGCGTGAGCTTCATGTTGACCTAAGAGCTAGAACGGGGCCAGGGCACACCTTTCCATCCGTTCGCAGGTTATCAGCCGTATCCAGACTCCTTTGAGCTGGGTACGAGCTGCGGCCTTACACAACACCATCTAAACGCACACGCATCGGATAGATCAGTTACCCTCAGTCACTGATGATGGACCAATCCGACGCCAGCACTGCATCCTTTGGAGCAGCTGCTGCGGCCGCAGATCGGATGAGTGCATCCCACAACTCTAGTCCAGGTACGATCGAAGCGGAGACTCTGACAGCGGTGAGAGAAGATGCGACAGGTAGAGCACGAAGTCGTTCCCCGTCAGCGCACTCGACACCACCGTGGGGGACACCGAGATCAGGCCGTAGCCCTAGGGAGACAAGGAGGAGGACTGACACCGGAGCTGTGAGAGTGTTAGCATTGGAGGATGGGTCAGCTGTACCAGTGCCGTCGGACAGCGAAGCTGGAGATCGAGCAAGGGCAAGCACTGACAACCTACAACTAGCACGGGCCGATGGAGACCTGAATGCGAAGTGTGCGCAACTACTTGCCGAAGTGCATATGTTGAACCACCAAAACGCATGGATGGTCGAATGTGAGCAGAGACAGAACCAGATTATACAACACGAGACCGAAGTCCACGAAGTAGTGATGGCACACCTCGAGGAATGTTATGTCGAAGGATATGGAAATCAACGAAGAATCTCCCAACTTACAGAATCCAGAGACTGTTTGCTCTCAGCAGCACACGACCTGCAATACCAGATGGACACTGATCGTGTGGCAATGCGGGATCGTCTCACCCAGTTAGGGGAGTACGCTGATCGCAACAGCGCAGAGATGGTTAGTCAAGTTGTGAACATCGGCACGGAAGAGATCCAGGCTATATCGGCGGAAAGAGATCGAGCTGTAACCGAGATCATGACTACAATCGCAGATGCTGAGAACGTCAAGGATCTGTGTAGACAGGAGTTAGTTGGACTACAAAGGCAGAGTGCCAGAAACAAACACGAATATGCTGAAGAGATGAAGATGAGGGAAGCAATGTATGCAAACAAGATCAAATGGTTATCAGAAGAGAATGAGGAGCTCAACAACCGATCTAATACTCAGGATAAGTTCATCTTGAGCATCAGAGAGCAATTGAAGAAGGCGAACGAGGAGTTGACTCAGACGAGGATTCAAGGATCCGATCGACCGTTTCAACCATCTAGCGCCGAACTCAAGAAGGTGGAAGCCAAGGTGAACATGTTGGAAGAGGACATTCTACGTAAAGAGAGGATGCTGAAACGTCTTCAGGAAGAACTGATCGAATCAAGCGCAAGTGAAGCACAATTGAAGGTCGCACTGAAGTTGAAACCACCAGACATGGGATCAGAACCCAGTTTGGGGAATGAGATGATGACCAAGCTTAGAGCGGAACTTGAACGTACTGAAAAGTTATTAAGGCCCGAGGAGAAAGAGGCAATTGAGTACTACGAAGGTATGATGCAGAACCAACAGGACATGATGGAATTCGAAGCGCATGCATCACGGCTCAGAGATGAGAGGAATAAGTACCGGAAGAGGTACGAAGAGGAGCGCACAAGTGCAGAGAATGCAGCCGCAACCGAACATGGTGCCGCTTCATCCTCTAGCTCAGGCGGCTCCAAGATATCTCGGAAGGAACACGAGAAGATCAACATCCCTGCATGGCCCAAGATACACGACCTGGAGGTTTGGAAATCCCAGGTTGTAGCGGCAGTCGTGACGGCATCGGGCGACGAGAAACAAGAAGACTGGATCCAATGGCTCTCGGATGCCTTCAGATCACCATAGGACCCATTTCTACTCGAGACATCAGGCGAGGCAAGATTCGCTAGCATAGACGCTAAGCTAGGTATCACCCTACATACGATCATCCACGCAGCAGGTGAGAGATCTCATGACGTACAACTGAAGGTGAGGCAGATGATGCAGAGACGTGCGAGAGGCACAACTCCTGGAATGGTCAAGGGACGAGAAATGTTAGCGTTGATCGTCGATAGTTTCCGGAGTGCCGACAATGTTGATGTGATGTATGCATCCAAGCACTTATTCGATCTAAAGTTCCCTGGGGATAATCAACTATCCAGATTCCTTGGACAGTGGGATGAGATCATATCAGGTATGGATGCGGATGACATGCTTCCTGACAAAGCACTTCGCAACCTGCTTTGGGATAAGATTAAGGATTCCAAAGTTATGGCGTTAGACTTGTCTGTGTACGACAACATGTTGGATAAGGTTCCGGATAAGACCTACCAGAAGTTACGAGAGATCATGACGAAGTGGATACGGAAATCAATTGAGACCACAAACAAGAAAGAAAGGGAAAAAGCTTTTGGGAACATCGTGAAAGCCACACCAGCGGCGGAGAAGAAGGACCCTAAAGCGAAACCCAAGAATACCAAGACCGATCCACCGAAACATGACGCCGCTCCAGTACTTCCTCAGGCTAATCCGAAGGACCACAACAAGAAGGACAAGAAGCAGGATCGTGGAAGATCAGCCACGAAGAGCCCAAAAGGGGATCGTGGCAGATCAGCGACTCCAGCAGATACGTCCAAGATAGGATGCGCTTTCCACTTCCATGGGAAAAACGGATGCTCTAGAGGAGACAAATGCAAGTTTAGTCACCAGGAGAAGCACAAGAGTTCTGCTAAGAAACCAGAAAACCTCAAGGGTGACAGATCAAAGAGTCCCGGTGGCAGGAGCAGTAGCCCTAAGCCAATGAAGGATCAGGTCTGTTGGAATTGGCAGAAAGGATCGTGCAAGTTCGGGGACAAATGTCAACGTCAGCACCACGCTGCTCCTGCTACAAAACAAGAGGCTAGAGGCAAGGCCAAGCCCAAACCGGCTGCGCCAGCCTTCATGCTTTGCGGAGACATCGAGAGTGATGACGAGGACGTACAACCCGCACTTCCCAACGTACAACAAGGTAAGCTGGCGCTTCGCTTTAAAGTCAGATTCGATGACCAGGCGAATGTGACCACGTTCACCTGCGATCCTGGTAACGAGCTAAACAACCGTCCCCTCAAGAGGAAGAAGAATGAGGTGCAGAAGGTGGACACCGAGCTCATTTCGTCGTCGAGAGCCCTCAGAGTGAGCAACATAGCTGCAAGAGTAGCACATGCCAAAGGTAAGATGATGGAGCTATTCTATGCTGAACACATTGCCAAGGCATGGATACAAATCACTCAGGATGAAGGAATCGAGGTGAACGTCGACCTGTCTGATTTCAACACCAGAGAGGTAGTAAGGAAGGATTTTGTCGACTACACAATACCAGGAACCACGATGTTCATGGCTGTGGAGAGGTATGATGGACCACCAATACGCTTCATCATGGACACGGGATGTGGACACGATTTGATCTCAAGAGAGAAAGTCAATGCCATGGGCCTTACCACCAAGGAAGGACCCAAATCCGTGAGCTTCATGACAGCGAATGGTGTAACTAGTACATCAGAGATGGTGGACATCAATGTGGACGAACTACCCATGAGGTCCGAGGCACACGTGTTGGAAAGCACACCATCAGTCTTTTCCATCGGGAAACGGTGCATGGAACAAGGGTACTCATTCATATGGCCGGCAAATCAGTTGCCATACCTCATCGACCAGAACGCGAACAAGATTCCGCTATCGGTGCATGACAACATACCCTACATCAAGGTGAATGATGATGACGGGAGATGTTTACCAAGACCAGACGGCTTGGCTACGATACTTCATCGCATACTGTCAGGTGCGGGGCATGAAGACGAGGTCACAACAGGTCAGGAGACACAACAAGAGGAACTTCCACCCAAGAAACCACGGAGACGGAGGAGAAAGAAGAAAGATAACCAGAGAGGTCAGGATGGTGAATCTGATATCAATCCAGCTGTTGCAGGCGCCGAAGGAGAACCAGAGGAACACGGTGATGACAGGTATTCTCCTGAAGAGGAATATGACGGGGAAGACCCGAGATTCGATCGTGATCACGAAGGTCAACCTGAAGAAGCCGGAGACGACGAACATGGAGGTGATGCGGATTCTGAACGAGGAGAGAGTGACATTGATGAAGATGAAGAGGGATTATTGGAAGTCGATGTGGTTGACGGGGAAACCAGACTATCAAAACCAGGAGTGCTGAAGAACGAGGCGAAGTCCATATTGCACTTGATGACGCACCGATACAAGAACCCATACTGCAAGTCATGTGTGAGAGCAAAGATGAAGCACTACAAGACTAGCAAGGGAGCT